TTTATCGCAGGTGATAACGTGAATTGTGAATTCTGTTGTGTGGAACGAGAATTTGCGTTATGAATTGTCTGGATTTTAAATCTTTAAAACGAGCAATGAAAATCTCTAACTTGACGTGCGTTTATCAGTAAGGGACTGTACAAATATGACGTCACGCTTAATGGGAGACGACAGTCTTTTATTTGCTGTCTTTTATGAAGACTGTTTGCTCAGGAACAATGGATGAAATCTCACTCCCAGGCAACTCATTTATGACGGTCCATAAATCTGGTGGCACGGCCAACCGCATCAGTTCTGGTCCAGCGGTGATTCTCAAACGAACGTCGTGGATCGTAAAAGAATTTCAGCAGTTTCAACAACGAGCAGCGTAGATGAAGCCCTTGCCTTTCGAGGTTTATCTCAGTCGCATTGTTAGAACGCGATTCCATTTGACGCTCTTTGCAACTTCTGCGTTTGAAACAGCGTCGTTTAATGACCCAGGACTTGGTCAGGCCACACTGCTAGAGGTCTCTGCTGTTGGTCATGGAACGTGTGACTGCTTTGAGGTGCGTGCAATTAACTCTTTTAAAGCCGGTAATTATTCTTAATCCACCGTCTGATTTTAACGATGAGTAACTCTCATTTTGGCTACGGAGTGTGTGTAAGCGTCTCAGATGGCATCAACCATGCGGACGGATTGTGTTGTCTTTGCGGTACGGACTGAGTCTAAATATTACGCAGACAAGCTTCGGTCTTCAAAGCGCTCAGTTGTTATTCATTTTACTTAGTGACTGTTGTGGCCTACTGCAGTCATCAAATCTTGACTGTGTGGACGGAATCAATAATTACGTATTTCTGCGTCGAACACCGACTGCAACATTGATCCCCGTATTTATTTAGCCAACACTGCAATACTATTTTGTCATGTGGAAAGGGGGTTCGCCGCATAATTATGTCAGAAAGCGATGATCTGTGAGGAGTGGAAGAATTGGAAGAGGACCGAAGAGTTGTGAAGAAGATGAAATTATCTAATACTCTCTGCAGTGTTAATTTTCTAGTGGTGTGTAGTGAAATCGACTTTCCTGTGTTACATAACGTGGTGATATTTTTTTTTTGAGTGTGCTGTACGCGGCCTGCTACTTCTGGTAAGCGACTCGCTCCGAGGTTCCAATTCACAAAAGTTCAGCGGCCAAAAACGCTGGAACGCGGTATAGCTCGTGGTGTGCTGACGCTGCATGAACATCGCAAGCGACGTTTTGTATTCTGTGCTCTTGAGGGGGCGGATGTGTCAGTGGGCGTGGTCTTGGTGATTAGAGATGGCAGCATTAGCGAGGCACAGATTCCATGTCGTCAGCGACTGGAAGTTCTCTAGGGGTGACCAACGAGTCGCTCTGCGATCGTCTCAATGCCATGACCAACTGCTTCGACGTGATGGAAGACGAACCAAGGACGACCAAGTGTGACGCGGTGCAGTGGAACTACACGGCGTAATATTCCAGAAGACGGTCATGCTCGCAGAATGGCCTTCGCGTCCTTGTTCCGAGGGGTTCAGCCGTCAGCAAAAGTTCTTTGTGCCGCGGACCCAGTGAACGACCGGCCGTCTGTTGAGCTCTGGCGGTAAAGCGTGAAGGCTTGGCCGAGGTTCGTTGATTTGGCGTAGTTCTGAGTCGATGTTGATGCTCCGAAACGCTCAGTTGCCCCGCGCTTTCGGGTAAATCCCACCTTAGTTTCTGTGGCCTCATGACGAAGCCCGGTCGCGCGAAAGGTTCGCTCTGCGTTTATTGTGTGCACTTCGTCTTTTTATTCTGTGGACGCCACGCGGCGTGGACATGATGACATTGGACTGGATCGTATTAAGAGGCGGTATCTCAGTATCTTTCTGAGACTGAGGAAACTCACGAATAAATCACAAGCAGGGTAGGGTAGTCTTGTGTCCCGGCTGAGAAACGAACAGGGCACTCTCTGAATACAAGTAGGAAGCCTTACCATGTGAGCAAAAACTGCCTTTGCCTCAGCTTCAGAATCATATTTCGGCCGTGCGGATTTCTGAGGTGGAAACAACAGGGAAATCTAAAAGTGTCGTCTGACAGTGAATTATTTAAAGTCCAGAAGAGCAGGGAATCTCGCACCTTGATTAATAAGGTGAATGAAATCTAAAAGTGTAGTCTGACAGTGAATTATTTAAAGTCCACAAGAGCAGGAAATCTCGCACCTTGATTAATAAGGTGAAGCCTCAACTGAAATGAATCAGAAGTTGTTTCAAGGCGTCGTCTCTTTGAGATGTGAGGTTCTTACGGGGGTGAATGCGTCGACGTAGGTGTTTTTGGGTTGCGACGCCGTGTTGTGTACTTGCGTCGTCTCGGAGAGACGTAGGCGCTCTGCCTTCATTCGAATAATAATAGGCTGTATTATCTTCTTAAGGTTTTGCGAGTTTCGCGATCTTAGAATTCTTTGTAAAAGTCTCGCGCAGTCACGCGCAGAGCAGCATCGTAGCCAGTAGGATGAATGTCGTCGTGACATGGCCGACGAACTCGCGCAACATATGGTTGGTGCAGACTGGAGATGGAAATGCAAGGGAATCGCATTAAATTGGACTCATTCCGCAATATTCGGCTTTAATGTGAGCGGCTGTCGTCTCTCGTTCTTTATGACTGCTCGCATCGGCGCGGACAGAATTCGCTCGCCTGTTGCGAGAGACGAGGGGCGGCAGCCGCGGGCGTCTACAGACGTGGACACGGGATTTAATTTGTGGGCGTGTCCACGAAGCCCATTAACAAGGACTGTACCCACCAAACAGCGTGTGAAGAATTCACATCACGAAGCTGCTACCGCTTTCGACGTGTATATTCGTTCGGTGCCCATAAAGATCCGTAGCTTTATGCGAAGTTCGTCTTCCGGGTTGCAACGCGTGTTTTGTATGATTCTTACTGTAAACGGCGATTATTTTCTTAAACAGCGTTAACCAGTTGATATTTGTAATGGTGAAGTGTGGTGTTTTCTTCGCGGTACGGACTGGAATCTTAAATATTATTCTTTTGTGCCATTCACAGACACAGAACAGCTTGGCCTGACAGATGCTGGGCGGAGCTGTACAATTAACTGCAGCATCTCTGTCCACGTATCTCAGTGTGACGAGGCACAGTTATGATGCAACATTATTATTATTACGGAGTGTCAGGTGCATTTCATTGCCGGTACTGAGGTCGTGCTGGCGTGTCTCTCGTTCGTTCCTTGTTCATCAGCACCTGTCTGGGTTCCGTTCGCCTCTTTTCTCACACGATTCGAATAGTTTCGCCGTGCAGCTGTTCTTGGGTTCGCAGATGGCGATGTGTTGTCCCAGGTAGAGGGACACAATGCAAGGGACTTCGTCCTACACTCGCTTTAACGTTTAATGTTCATTGCCGTGTACAAGCAACCAAGTCGAGGAAACGTGAAGTCGTTGTGGTTCCTTGGGGTCACTGATTCGTTTGTATATATGTTGGTTCTCCCACGCTTTGGAACTGTGGACTTTGCCTCACGCTTCGGAGGATTTACCCCGAGTGAGGTGTCTCAGAAGAAGGAACAAAATTGATGTTTTTATTATTTTTTTTAAATTCGGTGCTCTCCTGTCTTGACCCAACAGAAGAATTTGTTAAGAACGTACTGTGAAGAATATTTGAGTCAGTAGCGGAATGAGGAACTTAATTTTTAAGCTTATATTCTTAGGATGATTATATGAATACGGGGTTAAGGCGAAGCGATGAGAAATATACATACTTTTATTTCGAAAAAAGCTAACTTGAGAGATCTAGACGTAGATGAAGGAATATTTTAACGTAGATATGAGATAAATACTTTGAGAAGACAAACAAGACGTCTCGATCAAAGGTCTTCTGCTGAGAAAGCATCACTATATCTGGAGTCTGAATGAGATCTTAAAATTCTGAGGTTATTTATTGTCTCTGTTCCACTAATTTTCTGCTTTGCATCTTCAGTATTTGTAGAATTGTATTGAGTTGGTGACATTCGGTGCAATGATTTGCCGACTCGTGGCTTCTCCGTCCTGTGATGGGACTGAAGAGCAGCCTCGTCTTAAAACCGCGACGTCGCTCCGCTTCAAAAATCTGCTTTCGTACTTTGGGGCCTTAT